GGTGACTTCAACATAAGCTGCAGGTGAAAGAACTGGAAGGGAAAGGTAGTTAATAGTTGGTATTAATGGACACTTGACCTTCATTAACTCTACTGTTCATAATGACAGCATGAGGAAAGTACTTCCAGTGTTCCCATTTTATAGGAGCAGACTGAGCCCTGGAGAGTTAAGTCATGTAGCCAGAATCACATGCTAGGGAGCTCATGCTCTTAACTATGCTGTGCCACTTCTCTGCTGAAGCCAGTCAACTGCACTGGATTGCTGAAAGGTACCGTATCTACAGAGCGGTGGTGCCCAGAGAAGGGAGAGGCAAAGGTAAGTCTGTCTCCATCCTGGCGAGGAAAAGTGCCTGATGTCAGACTTGATCACGCAGTTTTCTCCCAGGAATGCACATGTGGAGGAAATGGGCTCATCCAACTATCCAAACACAAGGAGACAATCCATCAAGAATTTTTTAGCAAACTACCCTTGATCTAGTCCTGGGGCTCCTGGAGCAGCCCTCTGATTATATCTGATTCTGCTGGCAAAGTTGAAGGCATTCAAAAATTCTACATCCCTGGGTAGTTAGCAGTGTCATTATAAATAAGCAAACTGGCATCTGGTTTATGTTTCAGAATGCTAAATTTATTAAGTATGACTCAGTTCCTGCTGAGAGTTCTCACCTCTGGATATAAAGTGATAACAGGGTTTTGAATCACGCAGGCCTTTGGAAGTGAGTCTTGCATTAGTATCACCTCATGAAGATGAACAAAGAGCCTGGGAGGCTGAGACTGAGTGGCCAACTAAGACAACTGGACACTTGTCTCATCTGTCTTGTTCTGATTGCAATAACATGAGCTAAGAAGAAAGACTAATAAAGCATGAGAAAGGATCTGTAACACGCTGTAGAGCACGTATGTAGAAAGTTGCTAAAAAGAGGAAAACTATTAAGTTGAACCAAATTATTCCTCAAAGAACACTCCTCCAGAGACCTCTGCCGAGTTTCACATGAATCACTCACTCCAAGCTGTAAGAAAACAACTGTTTTAACAACAACAAAAAACACACACAACTCCCTGAGAAACATAAGGTGCCAGCAAGGTAAAGGCATTCTGTAGAGACCAGGTGCACTGAGTCAGCAACTTGTCAGTCTGAACAAGAGAGCCAACCAGAACAGACGAGGAAAGCAACAGTGCCACATAAACACCTTATAACACACATGTCCAGTGCTCCTCGTTTTGCTTAATAGGTCCATAAAAATAACTGCTCTGAAGAAGCCCGTGAAAACCACCACCGAAGTTATCGGCACAGTAGCAGCCAACCCTTCCCTTCAGTCCTTCAGCTACAGCCCCCGGTACTAACCCTGTACCCAGCACTCCAGAGGGACGGTCCCTGCAGCACATCTGACTTCCTCTGACACCCACGTCACCAGCTCCCTCAACTCACGCAGGCGCTGGCTCACATGTCACCCTGGTACCTTTGTTTGTAAAACAGCCCCACCAAGCCCATCGCTTTCTATCTTGTTACCCTATATTATTTCTCTCCTGAGGACTTATTACTAATGTATCTGTTGTCTGTCCCTCTTTAGTAGAAGAGGCTCCATGAGAGCAGGAATTTTGTCTATTTATGACTTGTCCTGTATCTGTAAAATTTAGCCCAGTGCTCAGCAAAAAAATACAATATGAATACAATAACTTATAATTCAAAGCCTAACAGGGAAGAGAGGCCCAAGCTGACACACAGACCTCCTAAAAAGCACAACATAGGGCATCATGGAATCTTAGTAAGCTCAGATGGGTACAGTGTGGAGCCCTCGTGGGGAGATGAGACGCAAATCAGTGCTGTAAAAGAAGGGTAGAAGCTGGGGGCTCCCACAATGGAAGCAGCACGGGGAGGCCTTAGAGCAGACGGCTGCACGCACAGCTGCAGTCAGGTGAACGGTGAAAGGGACAAAGGAGGACAGGCAGTAATAGAAAGGAAGGGCACCTCTGCCAGGGCAAGGGGTCACTGAGGGGTTTGAGACTGAAGAACAGAAGGACCATGTGCTTTTTACAGAAAGGAACAGGAAATGGGGTGGAGATGCGGTAAATCTGTAGCAGGGAGAACATTTAAAACATTACTGCAGGGCTGGGGACTTAGCTCAGTGGTTCCACCATCTGCCTTGCAAGTGCAAGGTCCTGAGTTCAATAACTAGGTACAAAAAAAAAAAAATTACTTCAAAGAAAGTTTACTGCAAAAGGGCCAGCAATGCTTAAGACCAAGTGGTTGGGGTAGGTGATGGAGGTAACACGGGGTCTTGACTGGATATGAAGACTGTACTTCCCTACAACTGTAAAACCACTCCCAAGCATCTTTTTTTTTTGTGTGTGGGGGGAAGCAAAAGGGAATATATTCATGCCTCTATCTCTGTCTCATACTCTCATGACTGTTTCCAGAAACCAAACCAGGTTGGACATCAATTCATTGTGTCTTCATCTCACAGTTCTGTGTTCCTCTGAACCAACATTATTTCCAGGTCAGTTCTTGGTCAAGTTTTCTCACAAGCCACAGGCTTAAATACCCCTAAAGAGGAAAGATCAGCCTTTCTAACCAGACTCTCTCCTGTAGGAGAGAGATGCTACACTCCCACTGGCAAGACTGAGCTGCAAGTCCGCTGCTAAGTCAGGGCTGCTTCAGCCCATAACATTGAGTGGGAACGTGGGGAAGGCTGGTTCTGCAGGGAAAGGCGAGCATGGCTACCAAGAAAGCAGGAAGAGAGGCCAGGCAGCCGGATGGATACTCAAGAGTTCCACCATCACTTCTTCTAGTTGATCTGATTCCAGTTTCTTCTAACTGATGGTATCGTCTGGGGAAAGGCAGCCTCATGGTACTGCTAAATCCCAAACATTGTGAACCTGTATTTCTCATCTGCGTAACAGCCCTAATTACCCCTAGTTTCCAAAGAAGCGAAGGTAGGGAATTAACTTGCCTAAGAGCACCAATATGAGCAAGTAGGCTTATGACTAAGATATTGGGTCATCTTGTCCACTACACTTTCTGTGTCCAATCCCTGCTGAACAATTAACATTCCCAGAGTTTACCGGCTCCTCTCAGTGGTTTGTTGGTTTCCTCCATGCTCTTCACACCTGGCAAAATATGCTGTGGCCTCTCGTTTCCCTTTCCTGCCTTGAGCTCTGGGCCTGGAATATCCTTCTTGACTTTACCTCATACAAATGCAGTTTAATGCCTCATTCAGATACCCCTCATCATCCTGGACATCACTTTCCCATAGGACACAACTTCGTATAATTATTTAGTACCTATTTTATCCACTGAGCTGTAAGCTCCTGGAGGCCAAAATTCTGTCTTTCATCTCTATGCACTTAACACAGATATGTGATACATAGAGGGCTATACTATTTAAAGGAATACATGAAGACTGAAATTTCACATTATGGTCACTTTAGTTTTATAGTTAAAAAATATTTATACTAGATGTAGATGATTCAATATGAGGGCAATGAATAAAATACCTCCTGGAATTTCTTTCCAAGAAAAAATTTCTTATATGAACAACTTGACAGCGTTCTTTATTATCAGAAAATAAAAACCATGTAGGCCACCATCATCTCATTAATACATCAGTGGTAGGAAACACAGATATTACAACCTATATCTACATGTTCCTCCAAAGCCTCATATGCTCATAGAAGGACTTTTGGGAGTTACTGGATCCAGGGTGTGTGATACTGGATTAGTCCATTGATTGGTTTAGCACAGTGATGGACTCATTGAAGAGGGAAGACTCACTCTGGGTGTGGGTGCACCAACCAATAGGATTGTAGCCTGGATGGAATAAAAAGGGAAAGAAAGAAGGAAGGCTAGCTGCCTCCCACCTGTCATGCCATGAACTGTTTCTCCTCTATGATGCCTCTCTGCTATGCTGCTTTTGATTGATTCAGCCAACCATGGACTGAAACATCTACAAAATGTGAGCCAAAATAAACCTTTGCTCCTTTAATGTGAGGATATTGGGCATTTTGTCTTAGAGATAAGAAACTAAGACGTTGGGATAACCAGCATACCAAACTGGCACAAGACAACGTTACATGGCTCTAGACAGAATCATCACTTCGTTTCCTCTCCTGATTGATATACACATAAGTCTGAGGATTATTGTGAACCACCTTCATTTTTTTTAAGGATATAGAAGCACACAGAAGACACTGGATACATAACAGCTAGCATTAATCAAGTATAAGTGAAAGTCTAACTGCTTACATCATTCATTATTCAATTTTTTAAAAACTGTTGAGCTCCCCAAGGGAGGATATGTATGACTGGATGTAATTTCAAATTCGTCTAGAATCCAACCATTTCTTGTAATCTCCACTGACCCCACCTTGTTCTGCGTAGGGGCAGCCCTGCTTCTGGCCCAACTTTGGGCAGGCTGTTCCCCACACAGCAGTCAGAGTGATTCAATGCCATCAAAATGTCAGCGGGGAGAGGAACCTGCTCAGTGGCATCTCATTTCACTCAGAGCTGTGCCTGACCTGACCCTGGTCTGCTGGTCCTGTCCTCCTCAGCTCCCACTCTTTGCTTCATGCTGTTCCTCACGCAGCCACTAGGGTTCTACCTCCTTTCACAAATTTCTTCAACCTTCACTCCCTGTCCTCGATGAAGTCTGCTCAAAGGGCTATTCTCTGGGAGGCAGCTCCTGAACAGCCTTATTAAAACCGCAGACCCCCTTCCAGCCTGGCTGTCTTTCTCCATAATACTCATCACCATCTGACCTGCTGTAACTACTGTCCTATTTGTTTATTGCCTGTCTCCTAGGGCGTAAACTCCATGAAAGCAGGGGGCTTGACTTTATTGTTTACTACTGATCCCAGACAGCAGCCACATGATAAATATCTGCTGAGTGAAAGAATGAATACACTCTCAATCCCTTTCTGGAGGTGAGGGGCAAATATGGGTTGCAGCAGGAAAAAAAAAAACCCAAAACCGTGGAGGTCATATTAATTTAAACTTTCTGTACTTACTTGGCACAGCGGACCCAGTGTGTGTGTCGGTATAAGGAATACAAGAAGCGCTGGCGGTACATGTTCCATACTTTGATGGATTTGTCTTCAGAAGCTGTAACCAGAAGCTGGCCATCTGCTGAAAAGTCTACACTTCGAACTGGAGCTGTGTGAGCTTTGAATTCTGAGGATTTCCCTCTCCTGGAAATAAACAGTTTAATATGGATAATTTACTTAACTTAATTATAATCAATATTGACTCAGTACACAGACTTTGAAACATACAAAATAGGTTCTCTTGCAAAACCTAACAGAAGTGCGAGAAGGCTGTACTCTTCACTGATAATATTTCATACTGGTTTGGTTCATTAAAAACACAACTGACACCTAACAAGAACACCAGGTTGTTCCCATCCAGAATCCATTTGCTGATGCTGCTTAGCTGGAAGCTAGGAAAACAATGTGAATAAGTCTAGCATGTGTTTTTAGCTCCTATTGTTTCCCCAGAAATGACAATCTATAGAAAAGCCAAGATTGATGAAATCAGTAGCCCCAAGGCACTGCTTTAAAATCAGGTCCTAGGGAAGGGGTGGCTGGCATTCTGGGTTGGGAGGAGCCCATTCATCTTGTGCCATTTACCTTTACAAAGGATGTCCCTGGTTGATCCTGTTTTCCTCTTCACCTGAGCTTCCACCCACCAGGAGTGAAAACTGAGACCCTGGCACATACATTAAGGCCTTGCTCACCTTACAGGCCCAATCTGATGCACACGAAAACAACAGGGTAAATTGGAAAAAACATTCTGTACTTTCACATTCTGAAATTTCAGATACTTTTTTTCTTGGCTAGCAAGGGGAAAAGATAACTGAAAAAGAGAGGGAGAAAGTAACAAGGCATTTAGAAGTAGAAAAACTGTTAAAATAGTATTGGAGTTACAAGGTGATTTTTGGAAGACAGTACTTCGTGTCAGTGTTCCTAAGTTCTCATGACAGTTTCATTTTATACTACATCCAGGACGTAGCAATTTTCCCATTTGGAAAATTATATTTATACTAGTGATACCTCATGAGGAAAACTGCTCTGTCTAAAAAGACCAGCAAGAGAATTTAGGGTCTACATACACCTGTCTCATATTTTCAGATGTTCACACTGGTGTCCCATACACCTGCACCTTACAATGTTACCTTTGTCAGCAAGAGCAGCAGCCACCTGTCTCCAAGCCAGAAGCCTGAACAATACACTCAACTTCTACCCCTTCCTTGCTCTCATATCCAGTAATTTAACTGACCCTACTATTGCCACTTCCTAAACATCCAAATATGCCTCTTCTTTCTATCCCAGCTCTGCTTGCCTTAAGGAAGATGGATCCTCAACATCCTTCACCTGGATTACTGCAAAAGCCTCTTAACTGGTCTTGCAGCTCTAATCCTTTATCCCCCTCCAGTCACCCTACATGCTGTGCTTATCACCTTGCTAAAAGTGTAACTCCAAGCATATCAACCCTGGTGTTAACTGTCACTGCTTCCTCCAGCATTAAGGACAACGCCCAAGCGCTATGGTGAAAGATCCGCCACTGCACTGAACTTTGTACTCAGATCAGCCACAGTGCTTTAAAGGCCCTGTGCTTTGCACTTGGGCCTCCTCAGGCCAAACTATTTTCCTGTTCCCAGAACCCCCTGATCAAGCCACAGAGGCTCCTGTCTCATGTGATAATTTTACTTTACCACATAATAGAGAGACTTTTAAAAAACAGACCTATTTTCTCCTATTAGACACTAAATATTTGGAGGACAGGAATGACGATTTACTCATCTGGGAAGAATCAATACTTAAAGGTTCTAAGATCCAACCTGGCTTCCTTTCTAGTGGCCTGTAGAAGGCAAAGGTGACTTTATTACTAATCTCCATCACATGATATATGATAATACATCAGAAATAACTAAAATTAGTATTAAATGAGAATTAGGAAGGAACATTTAGGACTAGTCGAATAAGGTCTCATGGGAGATTTTTTTACTGAATAGAAATCAGGAGTATAGTTTGGCCTGAATTTAAGCATAAGTCCTAGAGAAAACAGTGAAAAACCTTGGCATTTGCAGTGAGCAGGAAGCCACAACAGCTAGTCAGTATCATCAAAATCTGCCCTGATCTTTACTCCTACATTTCACAAACACACACACACACACCCATGGCTACTCTGCTTGCCTTTTTTCTAAAGGTTCCCTGCTTTCTTAACCACTGGGTCCTGTCTCAACAAGAAAGCATATAACAAACTGAGACAGGAGTGCTTGGCTTTTGCTGGGCACTGGATTTATCCTCCCTTCAAATCTGGGCTGGTGCTATGAGGCCTAGTCCTTAACAGGTCTCGCGGTCTCTGCTTTTACCTCTGGAATCTAGCTGCCACACTCCGAGAGTCCAGCCAGCCCAGCTCGCTGGAGGAAGGGCACATGGTGACCCAAGGTTTCTTCGCCAAAAGCAACGCCCCCATCCCAGGTATGAGTGAGGTCCTAGACCTGTCTGGCCCAGGGCCAGCTTAGTTAAGCTGCACAGGTAACCTCTGCCAACACCAAAAAGGGGAAGAACAATCTAGGCAATGAATAAAATTTTGAGAAGTGTTGGCTTTTGTCTTTTGCTACTAAGTTTTGGGGATTGTTATGCAGCGATAGATAACTGATCACTGATACACCAGATTCCTTCTCACTGCCATGATCTACTATTGTCCTGCTACCAATCATGACATGATTTAGAAAGAGAAACCAGAGACATATGAATAAACATAATCACTGTAGGCAGACTGGCCACTGCAGACTAATGACTCAGCGTGCATTTCGCTCACCTACTCTTATACAAATTGTTTAGAGAGATTTCCTTGAATCAGTAATGGGAAACTGAGGGTAAGCTGTGTACTGAAGATTAAAAGAGGGCAGCGGATAGGATATAGCTTTGTGGTAAGCCCTTACCCAACACGAGCAAGGCTCTGGGCATGATCCCCAGCACTGCAAAACCAAACAAATAACAAGTTAGTCCTAAATTCTCCAAGTTAAAGATTTTGGTACATGCCTCTTCTCTTGAACCCCAAACCAGTCTCTTCCCCCTTACAGTTCTCTTCTTAATGCTGTACACATTATCACTATTCTCTCTGATAGTTTTTACTACCATCAGAATAAAAGTCAGACTTCTCAGCCTGGATTTTCCTCTTGGGTAGTGGCAGATCAAGGTACCTGTGGCAAAGGAAGGTCCCTGTGAGCAATCTTCATGTGGAACTGTCTGGGCCTGTTAGTCACGTGCTGCAAATCAGATCCTGCCACAACAGAATCAAGAAAAATGCCCAAATTCCTATCCTCTGACATATTTACAGAGGGAAATGATACGATATACAGATTTGTTCTAAAAATACTCCAGAAAAAAGAGTGGGAGGATGGACAAAATGATATTGGCAGAGTACTGAGAACTGTTGAAACTGGTATGTGAGTGTAGTGGGCAAGTCACGATATTCAGTTTTTTCATGTATAGTTGAAAATGTACATACTTAGAAGTTTGAAAAAAATTTCTTTAAATCAGGCTCCATAATTGTTTCAAACAGGCTATGAGCTAGGATTTGAGGACTTTTATAGAGAGATTTGCTACAACAGGGCATTACCTTAACAGACGCAATAATTTATACTTTTTCAGAAACTTTCTCTAACAAGAAAATGCTGGAGCCCTCCCCAAATTATATCAGTCAGAGAACAATTTTGATATAGGAGTTTTCAACAGAGATCCAAAGACTCCCAAAGGATAGAGGAATGGGTATTAGGAGACTAATAAACTGTAAACTTTGATATATGCCAGTGTGTATCTTTTAGAAGAGATGATCTAAAGCTTATAAATGACTTAGAAAGAGAATGCTAAACAATTACTACCACACTTCCCAAAAACCTAAAATTGGAGACATTTTATGTATTATTTCCATGTTACAGTTTTCTAAAAGAAGATATAATTATGAGTTAAAAATGAGGAAAAACTTGTATGAAAGTTTGATTTTAACACAAGGGCAGTACACCTTGTATATGACTCAGACTAAGTATAGATAATTGGGGAATTTAGGCATTCCCAAGGAGTACATTAGTACTGCCAGACTCCAGCCTTCTTTCACAAACCCAAAGCAGGTCAAATGTTTTTTCTCTTACTTATCAGGAATCCAGAGTCTAACAGTTCTGTCTCGTGAGGCAGATGCCAATAAGTTTCCATGTGGAGAAAACTGCACGCTGGTTACAACATCCTTGTGACCCACATATCTGTAAGCTCTGGCTTGTGGCTTCAAATTCCATAGCATGAGAAAGGTGTCCCAGGAGGCAGTAGCTATTAAGAAACAGAAGAACAAAACCACTGTTAAAATGCAAATAGGGAGGAGGTGAAGGGAGGGCAAGGACAAGGGGAAAAATGAGAACCAAGCCCTGTCATGTAAAGGTACAAGATCCCAATGATGAATGTAACTGTGCTGTAAACCTAAAATGTACCAATAAACTCAATGAGGAAAAAAAATGAAAACAGGCATGTCTCACTACAGTGGGCATGTCGAATGGCAAGAGGTCCCGATAACCGAGAGGCTGGAAGTCCAGAGCAGGGCTGACCACCTAAGTGCAAAAATATTTTTTTAAGGACATTCAAAGCTACATCACAGATCTGCAGGCTTGGTTGTGTCCTGTGTAAACACACAGCAGAATTACTGGCCTCAGCATTCGATTAAAGCTCAGGTACTATTTACTAGAAGAAGGTAGCATAGTATGACAGCACACGGGACCTTCAGAGTACATTCTGTCTCCCTCCCTGTATGGCCCGGAACTTCTGTGTCATGAGTATGAAATTTCTGTTTTTGAGAGAGACGGGTGCCAGAATTGGAAAAAATATCAATGTGGAAATAAATTCACACATAAAAACTGGTACAAATAATACTAATATGCACTTTACTCAAATCTATAGTACTTTGTTCTGCTTAGTTGGCAATTTCCTCTGTGTTTCTTTTCTCTCTGCATGTAGACATACACATGCACACCTAATTTGTTCCCCCGAACCACTTGGGAATAAGTTATACAACTCATGTTACCTTTATTCCTAAATGGATTAGTGTGTATATCTGAAGAAGATTCTCTTACAAACCGTAGCATGGAGTCAGCTTAGAAAATTACTCACAGATGCAATTCTTTAATCTACTAACAATATTCTAATTTTGCCAACTGATCCAGAAATGCTTTTACAGCTCGACAAGATGATTGCAAGTCTCTTTCTAGCCAGGTGTGGTGGGACATGTCTATCACCTCAGCACTCTAGATGGCTAAGACAGGAAGATGGTGATTTTGAGCCCAGTTGGAAAACTTTGGGACTTAAGCAAGAATTTGTCTAAAAAAAAGCAAAAAAAAAAAAAAAAAAAAAA